AATGCCGAGCTCCAAATGAAATCATGTATTATTCAAGTGAAGGAGTAGAAAGGGAAAACATATCATTGTTTTGAGAACAAGGAGGAGGTTAGAGATCATGTTCAGCTGTCACTCTGGGCTTTTATTGGGAAATTCATTGGGCTGCTTTCATTGTTGTCAGTCTTGTCGCAAACATGAACACAATGCTTTTACACACACACACACACACACTCAACCCCACCACCGATCCTAGACACACACTCCCCTCTGCTAGCAGTCAGCTGTAGTCTTCATTACAAACCAGACAACTAGACTCAAGATCTTTACTATCAGAATGTGCTGATACCAAGTCTGATCTGATTTTTCCCTGTATCTAACACAGTGAAACAGCTGCCGCCTTCTGCCACGTTTATTTTTCACAAGTGTCTTGATCCAAATACTGGAGGTCAAATTTATAAATCTGAATTATTGATCTGATACGAAAAATTTTACTAGAACAATGCAGCTCCTGAAACTGATGTTGAAACATCAGATAGAAAGAAGCTGTGGCATTCTGTTGAGGCTACAGAAGCACTCCGTCCACTGGCGGTTATACAGCGAGTGGTGTGACTGCGTGATGCTTCTTTTACCTCATAGACAATCTGTGGCAGAGTAGAGGTGCCAGGCCTTTGGAGAGAACCCGGACTTGGCATCAGCGAAGTTGAATTTCTGTTAACTGGTAAAATCCCTGTGAGAGAAAATGACAAAAGTGCTCCTGAATGCTCTGTGCATTGCTCTTTGCAAGACATAACAACTTCAGCCTCAGTCATATTTCATGTTCACAAACTCACTTTTACTTGCAAATGCAGCAAATTGCTCACAGGTGTAGAGCCCAGCTGTATCAGTTGGAAGCTAGCATGCTAAACACGATGCTGCTGTTATGATTTCCAAACACAAACGCTAAGAGAGTCATGTTCACAGCCCATCGTGGAGCTTTCAGTTCAAACAGCAGATACCAAACAAACCAATACAAGGTGCATTTCTGCCCTGATACCAAAGTGACCGACTGGGACACAACAGTGAATACTCACTCTGATGCCAAGCATGAAGGACAGGAGGGCGGGGGGATTGTTAGCTCCAGGATGACTCACCCCTGGTGTAATGGCTGACCTCAGTCCCTGACAAGTCAAGCTGACAAGAGTGGACCTGGGCTGGAGGGGGGGTGGGGGCACCAGTCGCCTGCCTGATGCCAACCACAGCCGTGCTCTCGCTGTCATCACTCATGCTGTAATCAGCTGGAGCTGAGCTTCAGCGACACCAGCAGAGGCACATTCACCCACCGTTTGTGGTTAACCCATTAACTGGTTTGCCTCTAGGCCAACAGTAAAAAGTGGCGTTATTCCCTGCAGGCCAAGGTGACATCTTCAGAAGTCATTTTGTGAGACCAGCAGCTCAGTGAGAGTCATTTTACTGTCATGTGTAACAAAGCATCAAATCCTCAACAACAAATACTTGACATTTGTGCTTAAAACAGGACTAAAATTATTATTATAGATATAAAATAATTATTAATAATTATCAAATTAATTATAGACTGATTAGATCTTTTCATCTCAGCTCTGCAGTGATGTGACATATGTGGTGTGGCCCTTTGTAGTATGATAAACGGTGTTAGTCAAGTCAATCCAAGTATCAGATATGAATAAAGTGAAATCTTTGACGGTTTCAGAGTCGTGATGTATAAACAGCAGGAGACACCATCCTTTAATCGATCTAGGCCATCATAAAGCCTGTTCCGGTTTTAGTGTTATTAATTATTTTAAGCTACATTATTTAAATTAGATATGAAAACAAGAAAAATGTGCTGTCCATTTAACAGCTCTTTCATTAAAATGTAAATGAGGCACTAAATGAAGTGGGTCAGATTTATTTGACATGAACAGACATAACTAAGGTTTATCATTTATTTCATTCACCCTCCTCCCACTGTTTGGCTTCATGCTAACTGAGTCATGGCCACAGCGTCTGCTCTGGAAACACAGATATTCACTGAGTGCTGAAGCAGAGTGAGACATGTCTAAACCAAACATATGGTGCTGGTGCATTATTCAACAAGAAACTTCTGTTAAGAGTAAATAACGTCTGTGTCAAATCAAGTCCAATGTACTAGAAAGTGACTGCTGGGAATTCGCATCTTGTCATATGGAACTAACTTTACTGCTGGACCAAATGTATGGTTCATATTATTTAAGTACAATGTGAATGTCAACGTGCAGACAGCTGCTTAGAATGGCTTCAATAAGCCGCATCATGTCTGTTTTACTTGTCGTTGAACTGCAGAACCCGACTTTCTCAGCCACTTGGGAGCAGCAGAAATACAACGCTGTGAATACAACAAAAACGTGATCTCCTTTTAAGATGAACTGTTGGAATCAAACTGTTTCTTATTTGCACAGCAACCTGCTCGTTACTGTGCAGTGTGTCTGTGTCCCCCTGATGAGCCTCAGCCCAGCTCCCTCCCTGTTAGCTCTGGGTTTGGTCTCTACCTCCTCCTGAGGGAAACCTCTGGCTCTGGAGCTGCTAAATACTAAGTACAGCCGAGGTCGGCGGATGTGAATGGCATTGGTTTGGAGGGTATTTGGTCATAAAGCAAAGTACTGCATGAATGACAATGGTACCCAGATGATGGCACTGGACAGAGGATCACACAACGTATTACAGTTCATCTTGAGGGAAACATGGATGTCTGAACCAAATCTCATGGCAATCCATGCAACAGTTCTTCAGACATCAGGCTGGATGAGAGACTGACACTGTCAACTGTAGATCACTGCTGCATGCTAGCAGTGTAGCATCGTTACTGTGAGTATAGTTTCCAACAGAGCAGGAAGTCAAGCCATCAGACCATCACACAGGTTATAAATAAACGTCTGGTTTAGCCAGGCCATGTAAAGCCACTTCATTCAGAGGTGATCTCTCACTGCACAAGAACAGTGTGTGAGTGAAGCCACAGCAGGTACAAGGGATCAAACCTGAAGCAGGAAGTGGGTCTGTAAACTGTGGTGGACATTCACAATAGACTTGTTGTTAACGTTCAACGTTTCCCTTTGTTTTCTTTTGCAAATGATTTTGTTCGGGTGAAAGGCCTGTTTCCATCCTGATTGTCTGAAAGCTTCCAGTAACGTCATGACAACCTCAGCTTACTTTGTGACATGTTATCAGCACTGAAGAAAACAAAACTATCAGTGTGAGTCATTTTTAAATAAACATGATTTGAAAGTGAGAACTTCACAGAGTGGAACCAAGCCAGCAGGCTACACCACGCAGCACGGCAGAACAGCGGGTCGGCCCACGTCACAGCTTCTCTCCAGCGCTGCCCAGAAACACATGGCTGAAAGAGGACGCCTCCTGGTACCAGGTAACTCTCAGCTATGAAGTGATACGGTGTGGTACAGGAGCCAGACTCCTGTTTGTGTTAACACTTCAAATCACTATTCTCAGATTGTCTGGCTTTTTGTTGGCCAACGCGGTCTGCCATTATACGCTGCTTTTTTGTCTTTCTTCATTCTAAATAACACTTTAATAATAAGCACTATAGCTACAGAGAGAGGTTATTTCTTGTCTGTTATTTGTGTTAAATTATATTTCACCTACTTTATGTACCTTTACATTATTTCATTTTATCCTCGTTGTGTTTCAGGGATTTCTTTGCTATAAAGAAACTGGAGCTTTACAAATAAACCTGCCTTAATTCAGCCTGAATAGTTTATTTGCATCTGTGTTTGTCAAAATAATTGTTTGTATTTTAATTTGCAGTCAAGTTTAAAGTTCAAAATGCATCTTCAGCTATTTTTTCATCCTTGAATTATAACTCTCAGTTGATCAACAGTAAAATTGTCAGTATCTGAGGGACACAAAAATGCAGTTTCACTCCCAGTGATGAATGAGAACCTACACATTTTGTATTGTTTGGGAGATGTGAGTCAAAATGATTAAAGTAATTATGAGATGCAAATGTTTTTTATTAGGGTCACAACTAATGATCCTTATGTGTCCCTTCAGAGAACTGGTTTCTAAAATGCCAGAAAGCAGTGACACATGTCAAACTTACCAGTGTTTGTTAAGGATCACACATTTCACATTTGTGAAGCTGGAATCATACTTTTGTCATGTTTTACTTCAAACCGACCTATACAGAGTACCAACATGTCCCCAGACAGTTTTTCTTTTTAACAGCATCATCATCATCTTTTAACTTGCTCCTTGCAGCCTATCTGTTTTGGCTGCGCACTCACTCAGCTGACCGTGCACGCACGCAGCTCATCAGCCTGTAGCTGCTGTGAAGGTGATGAAGATGATGATGGCGATGTTAAATCCTCATTCGCAATCAGTGGAGTTGTGTTATTGACTGCCATGGCAACCGGTGGCAACCACAGTGCCCCTTGGCCGCGGCCGGCCCTCCGTCTCACCGGATCACCGGGTACTGCACTGCCCATGTGTTTCACTGGGGTTTTCAGCTCGAAACGGGTCTTTAAAAGACTTTAGACGGAGCAAAGAGCAGCAGCTTCTAATCTAAAACGGTTGGGTACAGCACTCACAGGAAGGTTTTCTCGAACTTAAAACGGTCCAACACGCAGCGAATGTAGCTCAGTCGTGTAACTGCGAATACACAGGGGTCTGTAAAAGACTGTCCACATCCAAAGCAGGCCAGTGTGTGTCGACACAAAGCCACACATTATGTAACACTGTAGCCACAAAGTGAAAAGTTGCAGGCTCCAGGTGGAGCGCCTCGACCTTTTCTCAGCGGCAACGAGTCAACGTTTAGGGTGGAAAAAGACGCACAGCGGAAGCTGGAGGCGAGAGGAACACGGCAGCTTACCTAGGGGAGAACACGTCTTGTTTTGTCCCATGAAAAGAGCGATAAGAGCCGAGCAGGCGCAGTTTCCGTGGAGCTCCCTCCCCTGTTGCAGCTGCTGGATGTGTGCGCGGATTCACCGCGTCCTCCTGGAGGAGCAGCCGAGCTCCGGCTGATGTCACCCGGACAGGGAGGGGCCTCGCCGGGACATTTCCATAAGGACGTGGTGTCTCTACATTCAGAGGTGGATGAAGAGTGGAACTCATTTTATCATCAGGAACACATTTTGAGGATGTTTTGGGGCGACAGCTCGCACACAGCAGCACATGCACACGTCTGTACTTGGAGTATTTACATTTTACAGTACTTTATGCTTTTACTCCAGTACTTTTACTCCAGTACTTTTAACCGACATTTAATATATTGTTGTAGTTTACTCGACAGTATAAAGTATTAATTAAAGGTCTACATTAGCTCCACTCAGACGTTCAATAGGCTACAACGTAAAAATGATACTTAATAATAATATCATAGATTAATAAACCACTCTGACAGTGTCCATAACAAGTACTTTTACTTTTCATACTCACAGTAGCTACGTTTTACTGATAATGTTTGTGCACTATAAAGCAACACTTTGTTTATTGTTTATTTGTTTGCTTAATTGTTTTTTCTTTTTGACCAGAACTCAGCTGTCAGTCGACATATCAGCACCTTGTAAAGTTGATAAACTCATGTAAAAGTCTTGAAAGTCCTAAACACAGACATCAGTGAGTTTGCACTGCAGGACGTTTGTTTAAGCAAAACACTGCAGCTCGTTAACGTTTTATGCAAAACTAGTTGTGACAGTGTTTTAACAGCCACATGCACAGGACCTTACTGTGGAGGGAGAACTATTTATGGCTTATGGGATCCTGGCATGTCAACTGTAAACATGAGTAAAATCTCATTTCACTGGGTTTGAAAAGGGAAGTCTGGCATTAAAACAAGCAGGAGTGGAGCTGTGAACAACTGCATGAGCTTTAATCACATATATACATATACGTTGCTTTAACTGTTAAAATTCCTTGTATTTTTGATCAAATTTGGCAATAAAGTTTATGCTTATGCTTAAAAAAATGCACTAAACATGGCACCACTCAAACCAACTGCAAACCAAATCTAAGTATATCAACATCATTTCTAGAACAGAGGACAGATCATTTGCGTAGGAAGTGTTATGAATCTTTCTCTGTGATCTGTCTTAAAAATGTGCAGAACCCCCACATTCTGAAACCCAGTGATCTACTCAGCTAACACACACACATCCTCTGATAAACTACATGTGGCTGTGTCCACAGTTGCTGGCAGGACAGATTCATTGTTGGCTTCCTCAGAGGAATTTCTGATAAAAATAAAAAGATAAAATACCTCCAGTGTCATCATTTAAAGTTGGATGGAAGACATTCTGTAACAGAGAGGGTACAAACACACTGTGTACAGCAGTTTAGCCTGTTTAAGCAGAATAAAGCATGAGTCAGGCTCCAGTCTGCAGCAGATCCTCTGAAAGAAATGCTGGAAGCAGCCAAACAAAGGAACGAACACCAGCCTCTGAGCAGCTATCAACAGATTACAATCACTGGGTTTCCCTCCGGCTCGAGCTGAATCTTCTGACGAGACTCACATCCACCTCCTCAGCAGCATTGCCAGCACAGAGTCAAACCAAGTTTTCTTCAAATTCTTAACTTGACAACATAAACTCATGAAGCTGAATGTTATGAGGAGCCTGGTGATGTTTCCAGACAGTCAGATCTGTGAACACCTCTGTTTCCAGGTAGTCGCCCGGTTCACCCGATGGCGATCAGCTGACTGAAAAGTTCACAGGACTCAGCCATGAAACTTAAGCACTGTCGCACACAGCTGAAACATCTGTGTATGTCTCCACACCTCTGTGATTTGAGTGCATGAATCTTCTTGACTTTGATTGTCCACACGCCATCTGTGGTTGAGTGTGTCTCAGCTGTCAGAGCAGTTTTCAGGCCTTAAGAATGTAAATAACATGCAACATGGTGAAGGATCTGCTATGATAAGCTGAGAGTTTTGAACCTATTCCCAGAAAGGTGAGAATATAACTGTAGAATGTGTGTCCATGTTTTAATCACCTGTCATCAGCAGCAAACTCAAGGATCAATCTGCTGAAGCCCCTAATCAGAAGAACAAGCTCACAACCTCGTCCTGAGAATGTCCCAGCTCCGGATGACGACCTGCTTCTGGCTGATGGATTGGACAGATTGGGACAGACAGAATCACTATTCTGTGAGTGATGTGAGCTGACTTTAGGATACTACAATGTAAACTCACACTGTTTCTAAACTTGCAGAGGGATAACTAGTGCAGCTGTGGGGCAGGCAGACTGTCATTAAATATTGTGGATCAAAATGAGGATTTCTGTGAGGAGAAACTTTGACTGAACAACTTCTCATCACAGCAGTGAATGCAGCTGGAGAGTCTGCATCAGAAGGAATCTGCAGAAAACATCCAACATTTAAGTAGCAACCCCTCAGCTCTCACACACTGCTGCTGGAAGGAGGCGGTGTAAACACATGGATATCTGGCTTCACAGAAATCAAACACTCATATCTTGAATTAAGCAAATTGAATGTTTGATCACAGCCTAACACAGCTTTCTCACAGATGACATTTGACTTGATTGACTGATTTTTTTATTTTTATTTTTTTGCTGCATGCATCATTAATTCACATGTGCTGTGGCTTTACTTCTTGGATTAATCTCAGAATCAGAATAAGAATCAGAATCAGCTTCATGAGCCAGGTGTGTCGGACACATGAGGAATTTGACTCTGGTACATCGGCTTTCAATGTGTATGTACTGTACATATCCCCATGCAAGGGGCAAGTAAACCAGCATAAGGCTGTGTAATATAACAAAATAAGCAGTATAAACAGGCAGTAAACAATGCAGACAGGCAAAGAAATGCTCACTGAAATGAGATAAATAGGAATAAAAATAGAGTACTGAAAACTAGAGACCTGTACGAATGTGTACCTGGATAGCAAGCACGAAGCCGAATCCAGCTGAGATGCGTTACATCTGACTAAATGCTGAATTCGGCAAATGATTATGGGCCATACCCGAGCCAAGCATGGCAACAAATTCTGGCTGACATGCGGCACATGTAATCTGGGCCAGTTTTGGCTGATTACAATTGATTCTGATTTCCTGACTAACTGGAACACGCCCCTTTCATCTTGACCTTTTGGAGATGACAATGCCTTAAATAGATTCTAATCCTGCTATATGCAGATTGAAAATGAAAACAATTGATTTTCTTCTTAGTATTATTATTGTAGCAATTACAGTAGGCTATATCTCTATTATTTATTAATGTAACAATGTGCTAATGTTTTAATTGTTTTATTTGTAGAACATATACAAACAGAACAAGAAAAACAAAAAAGGTCTAGTCATATTGGTGGCACATAGATAGTGCCTCACTGGCTGGTTTTGCGGTGCAGAGTGGAGGCCTCCTCAAAGTGGCGCCTCATTGCACGTGACTGCTCTACGTCCATGTGGAGGGCGTAGTAGCGGTCGGCCGTGGCAGTGTTGTGACACATAAACTTTGCCACTTTGCTGCGCACCTCCGGCACGTGCATGTTCTTTGCCTGCAATGAGAGAAAGTGAGAAAGCAGAGTGACGCACGAGGAGCGGTGGAATTAACTTAAACGGAGCACATGCTGCAGCTGCAATTTCTATAAGACTGGGCAAATTTTCTCATGATAACTTGAAAGTACATTGTTGTATTTAAGTATAATATAGTGGTGTATTTTGATGTGCTCAGTGCATTTTGATGATTAAAAACCTTCAGCATTAGAGCTAGGTAGCTAGCTAGCTTGCAAGCTAGATTTAATTGAGTTTTTAAAGACTGATTTTTTTTTTTACGAAAAAGCAGCTTTGAAAGGTGGGGATAATCTTAGTTCAACCAGTTTAATTAGTATTATATTGCCATTGACAAACTCGTTATAAGCATTTTTTTTCTCCTGCATACACGTGTACGTTTTTTTTTTTTTTGTTCTTGCCATATCAACATGTCCATAAGGGTGTCCATCAGTGCACATGGCACCAGGACACCCTAGGCCGGAGGTCGATGATCGACTTTGTGGTTGTTTCATCTGACCTCCGGCTGTATGTCTTGGACACTCGGGTGAAGAGAGGGGCAGAGCTGTCAACTGATCACCATCACCTGGCGGTGAGCTGGATCCAATGGCAGGGGAGGAAGCTGGACAGACTCGGCAGATCCCCAAACATATTGTGAGGGTCTGTTGGGAACGTTTAGCAGAATCCCCTGTCAGAGAGATCTTCAACTCCCACCTCCGGCAGAGCTTTGACCAGATCCCGGGGGAGGTTGGAGACACTGAGTCCAAGTGGACCATATTCTCCACCTCCATTGTTGATGCGGCCGTTCGGAGCTGTGGCCTGTCATGGTGGCAATCCCCAAACCCGGTGGTGGACACCGGAAGTAAAGGATGCCGTTAAGCTGAAGAAGGAGTCCTTTCGGAGGCCAAGCAGGCCGCAGCCCGGGTGGTTGCGGAGGCAAAAACTCGGGTCTGGGAAGAGTTCCATGAGGC